AGATCCGTCGGAACCGGCCGATGAGAATGGGCCGGCTCCGGTTCTTGCCGCCTCCACGCGCGGGTAAGGCGCCGGGTGACGGGGTCGAAGGCGGAGAAGTCCAGATGGCCCATTGCTTGGTGGACCATCGAAATTGCAGCCAGATACTGTGGGAGGCTGCGAATGCCCACACGTCCCTCCTCCCGCAGGAACCGGATGTAGCGGTAGATCGTCGAAGGCCGCGCGGGGAGGCTGGCCAAGTCGTGCGCCTCGCAGAACGTAGCAAAGCGGGTGAACTTGGCATGCATGGATCGGCGGGTTGACTCGGTATAAAAGGAAAGAAATTCGGCCTGCATCCAAGACTGATCGGACGCCAACAGTCCGTCCACCTCGCAGCCAAACAGCGGGTGATCAGCGGGCATCTCCTCGACCGGGAGAGGGTCGGCCACCGGCGATGCCGATCGGGAAGAGGGCGTCAGGCGCCCAGAGTCGGATCCCCCCTCCGCGGCCGAATGTGGAAGGCGCGGAGATTCCACCGGGGGGGAGACAGGACGGCCGGAATCGACGGATCGCCCGGGAGGAACATCTCCGGGCGGCGAGGAATGAAGAGCTCCGCCGAGGCCATGCGCCGGAGCCGCGGAAACCACATGGCCGACGGCCAATCCGGCGCCAAGACCACCGCCTCCACCGCCGGCCGTTGGCGCAGGAAAGCCGTGAGACGCGGAAGCAACGACCAAGGCGGATTCGCCCAGTTGGCCGCGCCCGTCCAGTCTTGGAGGAAGGCATCCACCCCCGAAGAATGGGGCTCGTGGTGCCTCGAATTGAAGGCGGTGCAGAGGGAATTCCGATGGGAAGCAAACCGGTCGATGGTCCGCTCCCCAAACCGGCGGGTAATGGCTTTGAAGATCACCGGATTGAGACGGCAGTCCTCGCCCCCCTTGACCCACGACAAGCGGTCCGGAATGGTGTTCTCCTTGGACGGGATGTATTCCGGATCGAGCAGCAATGCGCGGGCCGAACAAATCCGTTGCAGTTGGCGGAGCGGCCCGCGGAGCTGGTCGGAACCCGTCGTCATGCTGCGGATACAAAAGAGAACCACCTGCGAATCCACGAGCAGGCGCAGCCGAGCCGAGATCGAGGGGGAAACCGCCGGAAAAAAGGCCCGGATGGCCAAGGCTACCGCCTGCAATTCACGCACATTGATGTGCGTTAACGAGCGATCAAAGAAGCCTCTCGCCAATTGAGGATGATCGGCGTGAGGGGGAGTGAAAGTCGCACCCCAACCCGTCAAGGAAGCATCCGTAGCGAGGGTACCCGCAAAGGGCACCCCGTCGGGATTAAGGGGGCGGCCATCACACCGATGAAGATGGACCCAGGCCTCTAGATCGAGGCAGGCTTGCGGGGTCAATCGAAGACGATCCCGCCAAGAGCGTTTGGTCCGGAGCACAGCATAAAGGCTCTGAAGAAAAAACCGGGCAAGGGGAAAGGCTAAATAAACCGAAATAGCCTGCCCACAAAAGCGAGCCAGATCCCGAGCGACTACCCATTTCCGGGCCCGAAGGACCCGGGCCTTTTCGGCCAGGAGTGTCACCTTGTCCCGGGGAACGAAGAAACGGCAAGCGTTGGTGTCCACCACCACCCCGAGGTGGCGCTTGACCCGAACCGGCTCCCACTGGCATTTCCGATCCTTAAAGCGAATCCCCAGGGCCCCAAAAATCGCCCTAACTAATTGGGACCATTCTCGCAATTTCTGGGGATCGCTCAGGGCGGCCAGAAAATCATCCAAATAGGCCAGGATAATGGCGGGGTCATCGATCGTATAACGCACATAGTAGCGTTGGATCGAATCATTCCCCGCGAGACTGCCAAAATGGAATTTTTGCGCCGCTTTGGTACATGACCCCGGAGAGCGAAGGAAACGAGTAACCACCAACATAAAATGGGTGAAAAAGTAAGGAGATAAAGAGAGACCAAAGGGGAGGGCGCGGCAAGCGAAGACCTCCCCGTCCATACGAAACTGTAAAAAGCATTCGTCAGCCAATCTCATCCGTAAATGATGGTAGGCATCCTTCACATCAAAACCGACCAAAAAATCATCCTTTTTCAACAAATGACCAAAATCCCGTAATTTTTCGTACCGCAAGCCCATCTTGCGCAAGTGCCGATTAATGCGGCGGAGATCGACGCAAAGTCGATACTTCATCACTCCATCCTCCCGCCCTTTTTCCACCAAGAACGCGCGAGAGATGCGCGAAGAGGGGCCGGGGTCTACCTTGACGATCGCGCCCGACTTCAAATACTCCTCGCGGAGGGCCGTCCAGCCCGCCCGCTCCTCCGCCGAACGGATCGGGTATTCGCCCAGGTCGAAAGGCGGGGGAGGTCCCTGCGGTCCCCAGGGCAGCGGGACGCCCGAATGGATCCATTGAAGAACGTGCGATGGCGCTCCAATCCTCCGCCATGCCGAGAGGCGTCCGCGGGTGCGATTATACGGGAAGTCGGTCACGCGTCCGGAGGTGGACGCGCCGCTTGAGGGGGATTGCGCCTCTTGCCCCGCTTCCCCGACGGGCCGCTCGAATGGGGAGGAGGATCGCCGCTCCCCGCCTTGGACGCCCGGCTGGCCGCGGCCGCCTTGGTCGCAAGCTTGACCTCCTGGGTGAGGAGCTCCTTGCGAATGGCACCGAGCGTCCCGTCGATGGTGTCGGTGGTGAAGCCGCCTTCGGGCTCGCTGAGGCGGATCTGGGCCTGTAGAGCCCGCCAGGATCCCTCGAGCCCGGTGCCTCGATGCTTCGCGTGCACCTGATGGAGGCGCAGCTGGTCGACCTGCCGCTCGGTAATGGCCACCGAGGCGTAAACGTACGGCAGGAGAAGATCCCGGATCGAAGGCGGTAGACTCGGATGGGCGACAAGGTCCACGAAGCACGCCGCAAAGTCGAACTGCCATGCGACCCACGGCGCCCAGCTCGCGTACTCCTGGAAGTAGCCGGAGTTGGGTCCCAAGGCCGCGGCGACGGTCTGGCCCTGGCCAGTCTCCCGTATGTCGAACCAGGCTGGGAAAGACGTAAAGTCCGGCCTGGCGACCCGGTTGTTGACTGAGCGGGGGAGTAACCGGGGGTCGGAAACCCACGTGACCTCAATAGGACGGTCAGGGAGGCGCTGGTTGAAACGAAGCGCCTGTGCCCGCAGCCACTGTTCGGCAGGGCTGGGGTTCATACAGAAAGGACTCGGCGCGAAGGCCGGAAGGTCGAACCACTCGGTGGTTCCGGGTTGTGCCAAAGTGTTGGCGCGAAGCGAAACAAGATAAGGGGGGCGCCAAGGATCGCGCCTGAAATAGCACTCCCACTTGCCGCCAAACTCCCCGCCAAACCCAAGGGCCAGCTTGACCGGTCCCCTTGGCTGCGCCCAAGGTACAAGGTTCAACCCAAGCTCCCTTGGATACGTCGGGCAGCACTGACCCCGAGTACAGGGGTGACAGAAACCGGCTTACGACTGGCCCCAAACTGTCCAAAAGGCGGAACGGCCCGACCTGGCCGTTGCGCGCCCTCCCAATCGTCGCCCTTCGCAGAAACCCATTAACAAGATAGTTAATTCCATTTCTTGGTGATGATGAGGGTCGAGGGGTGTTTAACCCCGAATGGGGACCCAGGCTCGAGTACACGGCAACGGTTTACAGCTGAACGAAGGCACAACAAAGTTTTATCCCCTGTATCCAGTCCGTTCATCAATGCCCTTAATGCAATTCCTAATGCCTCATCACCTCTTCATGGGTCCGGCTGTCAATGATACTCAATCACTTCCAGTTGCAACAGTGATATGCTAGTTTCGGTGAGGGGCTGTGTTGCAGGCAGGCACGTCCACGGGATGGGAGACACAACTCAGGGAATAGAATCGCAGAGAGATCGTGGACAGGCATGTTCCTTTACATGGTCAATGCAACCATGTGCCAATCACGGACCAGTCGCTGCCATGTCAGTAAGGCGTGGCATGAATTTGGATCAGAGACGATTCGGTCGAAAGATCGTGTCTACAGAAGTGTGTGCATTGAAGGACCTGGTCAAGAAGCATTCCGCCAAGCCGCCATCCTCCCTGGAGAGCGTCGGGCCGGGAGTGGGTTCATGGGATTTGGACATGGACCCGTCTTGAGCGCTGGCAATTCTGGCGGAGGATGAGGATCTCGACTATATCCAGGTAAGGTGCAGTATAGATGGCGGAATGAACGGAAATAAACTGGTCAACCCGTGGGCCTAGGGGTTGAGAGGATAATCGTTTGGGGGATGCACGTGCGGTCCTGGATGAATGCAGTGATGCGGATTTTGTCAATGTGAACGATTTCCTTAAGGTCTAGGATGTGTCTGGAGTTGGAGGTGGGAACTATGGTGGGCTTGGGTTGCGTGTGGGGTAGAAATGGGCGGCGCCGCCACAGGATGGTTGCTCTCTTTTGTGCTTCTTTCTGAAGGTTTGTGTCACTTCGTGCAGCATTGTTAACACTTTCCACCTGACTCACACAAGTTCTCTGTCTTGATGGAGCATTTCAACCGTTCATTGCACGAGCTGCGCATGCTAGGCAGCCGGCAAACCCATTTCCTGTGTAGGAAGATGTGCGAGGCTAGGTGCCGATTGCTCCCATACTGGACGAGCTTGCGATTCACTGCACCAGTGAGTGCTTGCCTGGGCCGCCTGTTGGTCGGATCATCGAGGCCACCTGCGCTGATGACTGTGTAGTTTTGGTGCCTCGCGGCAACCACGTACTGATTTCACGTTCTCAACATGGCGAGTAGGCGGAAAAACCGTTTGGCCTGGAGCACGTCCATGAACCAGCCGTGGTGCATCAGGTTGATGGCATCTTCGTAAAGACTTCCCCCAGCTCCCGCGGCCTTGAACAGAGCATCCCGTCCTTTCGGCGACGCCACCAGCAACCAAACCCCCCATCGAAATCGCCCGTCGTCTTGAAAAAACAATTGCCTTTAAAAAAAGCAGCAGAACCCAAGAAAAGAATTTCGCCCCACCCCAGGCGGCAAGAGTCGTCAGGGGTCGTCCCCGCCCCCCGGCCCCCTCCCACCGCCGGCGGCGCGCAGCGCCCTCGACATGAGCTCGTAGCACGTGAACGTCAGCGCCGCTGCCGGCACCGTCCGCACCAGGTTCACCCCGCACCCCCTGTACAGGCCCCTAATCCCGTCGGACACCAGTATGGCGCGCGTCTCCCGAAGCAAGCCCTGCACCGGCCCCAGCCCCTTGACGTGCATCTGCGTCCGGATCACCTCGTGCGGGTAGGTCGCGGTGGAGGCGATCATCTTGGACAGCGATGCGGCGGCCAGCAGCTGCAGGGGGTGGAGGTTTCCTACCCCGCCGCCGTCCCGCCTGGCCAGGGTCGCCTTGATGTGCTCGTAGATGGGGAACTGGACGACCACGTGGAGGATGCCGAAGATGGAGGGCGCCAGGCCGCTGTACAGCGCGGCACTGCCCTCCTCGCGGCGGATGCGGAGGAGGGCGTCCAGCATGCCGCGGTACCTGGCCTTGGGCAGCCACCGGTGGCTGGCGGCCATGTCCTGGGTGACCAGCCGGGTCTTGACGACCCACAGGGGGTTGGTGGCGACCACCGTGGCGGCGCCCGCGCCCGCGGCGGAGGCCATGTGCACGCCCGGGCTTGGGCCTGCGCAAGAACGAGGAAGATGTCTGTGGCAAGGAGAATTATCATAGGAGCTCTTATTCCATTCGCAAGTTCAGGAACAAAGATGGTAAGGCTTTCTCCATCCAGAGTCGTGAAAGAGCAGGTCGGTGTATTCCAAGTTTAGGGTTGGCGATATCCGCCGTGAAGTTTCTAGGGAGATGTGGCCAGGGACAGATAAGAATGTGCTAAGGGAAGGGAAAAGCTGATGCTACAGTTACCACCATTCCAGCATGGGGCGTTGATCAGTGACCAGTCAACTGTCTTTCAAATGACTAATGCCGTGTTGGTTGCGATCTCAACCTGTGCCGATGCACTTTGAGAAATAACATTGCATTGCGCATTGATGGCTCAATCGACAGACTTCAGGCGTGAGCCTTGTGTAGGTTCCTACACAGCCTAACCATAGCACAGCCCGCCCCATGGTGCAAATCTCCATTTTTGGGAAGCTGCTGCAGTGATGACTGTCTTACGGACAAACGGAACACAGAGTAAGCCGAGCCACACTGCCCTTTATCGCACTTATTCCAGGGGAGAGAAGACGCTGGATCATTTGGCAGCAGCGAGCACCAGAATCAACCAGCCATCTGTGGTCCTACCTCTGGAATGAGCTGACAACAAAGACTTCAACCTCTCGTAAACAGTAAAATACACCTGCACATGTTTCAATAACCACAGTGTCAGATGCCAGCTTCAATGGCTGTGTATGTGATGATAAATTCACACATCGTGTTCTTCCAGAAACAAGTGCCAAGGATGGGCCTCTCAAACTGGCTATGATCGTTCTGGCACTCTGCAAAGCAGACTGAGTCATGCTTGCCTTGCTAATGACAGGCCATGTGTCCAAAGACACATCATCAATGTGTAGTAAACCCAGATAACATAGGTCAGGGCAAACTGCCCACTCTTTGCTGAAGAAAGAAGTTAATCAAGAAACCAAAAGAAAACACAATACTGAGCACCAATTCTGTGGAGCAGTACCACAAGGAACTATTACCACTGACTGCACAACTCAGGCCACATTCAGTGCCACCCATGCTTGTGAAACACTACCATCATTTTCACTACTTTTGATTACTTTTGCTAAAAGCTGTCAAATCATTGAACTTGCAAGTGAAAGGTGATGATGAGCTTCATTCCAATGACGTCTTTGGATCAAGAATATTCGTTTCCTGTCCCTCCCCAGAAACATGCACAAGAATGGCACACTTGTTGAACCTCTTGCCATGTCGAAACTGTCCTTGACTTTTGGATGGCTGTGGCATTCAAAAATGACACCAAGCAGATACTCCACTCTTGGTATTGCGAATTAGGCACTGATGTATCTCACTGCACCCAGCATCGCTTGCATTGGTGCAAGGGCATGTTTGTTGCCCCCTTTTGAACAATTGCAACCATGGAATATTGTACTGGCATTGCTAAGGCAGTGGCTTCATAGAACATTGTCTGAAAGGGCATGTTCTAACATGCATTCTCTGTTTGTCTCCATTCACTGATCACACCCTTTTGCTCACCGCCCAACTCGGAATGAGGGCGACAAGGGTGGGCGTCAGCCCCTTGTACAATCCACGCACACCCTCATTCCTCAGAATCCGCAACAATCCAGCTGGAGGCAAACACAGCGTACGTCAGACCACCCTACAAGGCAAATTCTGTCAGCTCAGAGCAGCAAAACGTAAATGGAATTTTGACTAACTTATTGATTGTTCGACTTTTTTTGACAGGGTGGATATGTGCATTGACTGTCATAGCCCTCATAGAACATTACCTTTTTGCATGCACCACGATGTCTGGTGCCCATTGTGTCCGAGTTATGCGTTGTGAGGGTGACTCAATAAGCAGACATTTTCTGGTCTTGCGTTGTTGGTTGATGGTGGCAACAGCTGTTTTCCCAAGCATCACTGTGTATCATGTCTCTCGTGAGCAACACAAAACTGATCTGAGATATTGCTCGAAGGCCATTTTCACCGCATTTACAATACAAAAGACAAAGCACTGCCCTCACATCAATTATTAGATGTGAGGATCTTTTCCTGGCAGCAAATGCTTGTCCCCTACCATTGATATGCATAGTGAAATATGAATAACACAACAACAGAAATAAGTGTTGGAACAAAGGGGGGAAGATCAAAAATGTGCACTGATTTCACGCATAATGACATAAGAATCCTCATATAGGCGTTTGCTGCACCCTCAACGCCCCAACGGCACAAAATTCCATTGCGATTATGATGAGCACGAGGATGATCCACATGATGCTGATTGGGGCTGGGCTGCTTTGTGCAATGTACACAGCTCCAATGTGACAGATTCTGAGCATCGCTGTGCAGATGTGACAAGCGAAATCGTGACTGTAAAACTGACTGCTTGTAAGTATGTATTCCATTCGGTTTATGATGGGGCTCATGGGCCCCAGGGCACTGCACACTGTGAGCCACCTTGCCTGCCAATGATGCCTGGTCCACTTCAGAATTTTGGCACTGGGCTATAAAGTTGATGACGCGCGGCCCAATATACGTTTCCCTTCCCAACAGTCCACTATCTCTTGTGTTCCCCTTCTTTTGCACCCCAAGGCTTCCGAGAGTCATCACTTGCACGCACATGTCTCAAAAATCCGAAATCACGAGATGTGACCCAATTTGATAGCCCGCTCTCTTCTGCTTGAAAATACCCCCGCGGAGGTTTGCTCCAATCCCACGACCCCAGCGCACCTGCCAATCCCTTGTACTGCAGCCCGTCAGGCACCTGCTGTCGGGTCTTCAGCACGTCTAAGGGGCACATCACCGCGGCTGTCACCGCGCCTGGCCACACACCAGCGGCCGGGGACAAAATCAGCACAAATCGGCCATCAAACCTGGGCTAAATCGCCCCAGGGAACATCCGAGAGGCAGGCATCGATAGGAGCGGGAAAACGAACGAATCGGGACAAACAAACGTTTCGCACGTCTGTGTCCGCGCGCCTTTTCTGCAATGTGCAAACGGCGCTGCTTTGGCTTCGCCAAAGACAAAGCGGAAACACAACCAAAGACGACAAAATCTCGCAAACGCAGCCATGGCATTCACAACGGGCAGATATGCGGACGGCGCAGCTGCGCCCACTCACCGGCGATCCCACCGGACAGCACGGCATTCACGACCTCATCGTCGAGCTGGGGGAGCAAGGCAACGTCGAACCGTCAGGACGGATGCCACACCGGTGGCGCGCGGAGCTGCTGATGGGATCAGGTCGCCTTGGGCGCACCCGACGCCGCAACGGCGCCATGGCGCCGCCCCCATGGGGCACGACGACGGCCCTGTGGGCCGCCCTTCGCCTCCTCGCGACGCTGCGTGCGGGCGTGAGCTGTGCGCAGTGCGCTGGGGGCGGAACCATGCGGTTCACGCCCTGCAGCGGGCGGGGCCCATCTGGAAGCGAAATCTGCCGAGCGCCTTTGGCACCCACCCCAAACGTGCTCAGTCATGGTGGTGGTATATTGACAGCAAATATGCTAGATGTCGATCGGAATGCAGGGTAAGGCGCTGAGGAAGGCAGCTGCCTGTGGCGAAGGGCAGAGGCCAGCGTACGGCAGACCTGCAGGCAGGTATCGTCGGGCAGCGTCGAGGTGTGGCGACCCCTGACTGGGGCGCAGGCTCTAGTACACGGCAACGCCTTACAGGGGAGCGAAGGGTCAACAGGAATTCTATCCCTTATATCCAGTTCGTTCATCAGTGTCCGTAATTCAGTTCCCATTGTATCATCGCCTCTTGATGCAGTCCAGCTATTAATAATACTCAATCAGTTCTGGTTTCATCGGCAGAAACGGATGTATGGCGTCGCAACAATGGGGAATTATATCAACAATGAAGGCGTGGAATCGTTGAGAGTGTATCGATGACTGATGCTAATGGGCTGCACTGCGTCAGCGCCATGTGAGGTGCCAAGGAGATGTTGCTGGTTCGATCTCACAGGCATGGATCACCATAGGATCAGACACGCTGTTCGCGCAATGACCTACCACCATAAGTGGGGAACTGTCTGGCAAACTCATTGTAGCTTAGTGGCATCAAAGCTTTTGACGTTGTTACGACCTTGCCACTTGAGGCGACCCTTATTTGAGGGTGAAAACCAAGTTGAAATCGCAACCGTTACGATTGCCAACCAAGCCACCCTACTAATATACACAGATGGTCTTGCACGGATTGGTGCAGTCATCTGGGCCACAGATACCCCACACCGTAGTTAATAACTGATTCGAGATAGTACTCCGTGTGTCTGTCACAAATATATCCACAACGTATCCAAGATACATTATATTTCACATTCCTCATTTATTACTTTTATTCGGCAGTGGTGGAATGCAATTAAAAATGCATGCATTGTTCCATGGGGCTCATTGTACCGTTTTAAATGCAACAAAGCACAATCCTTAACATGGCACATACTTGCTTAAAAAATTGGATACGATCTTTGCGTTCGCTCCCTAGTATCAACCATCAAAATCCGCTCACACACGTCAGCCGATAGGCCAACAAAAGAATACCATCTCTGATTGGCGATTAGTGTTGGGGATTTATTATCGCCCCATCCATCAGCTTTGGATGCAGACTCTTAAAATCTCCCATCATAATTGCTGCCAACATAATGCACATCACGGCGCTCACCATGTTGCACGACTGGCATAGTTTGCACTCTGTTTATGACCAACAAGAATGCCACGGTGCGCCCTGCCTATCAATGGGTAGGGCGACATCACGCGTAACGCCCCATCACGCATAACGCTCCATCACGAGTGGCATTCTCCGAGGCGTGCAGGCAACCTCCATGCAAGACATGATACATTCCATCAAAAGATATCAGATCCATGGGTTTTTGTACGTCAAACTGCCATAAGATAGTGGAATGGGCAGTTAAGAAATGGCAGGAGATGCCACGTTAGCAAAGCCTGTAGCAACGACATCATAGGTGACAAGCAAAAGTGTTGTGGGGATATGTTGTAATTAGTAATGCATGATCTACATTTCCATTTCTGTCAAAATGCGGAGTTAATTCTTTGGTGAAATTTCATGAGAAGCTCCTGATATGTGTGGTCCATAACAACTATGTTGATTCTTAATAGTCCAATTATTCAAAGTAGGATCTTTTCACCGGTACAGTACTTTAGACGTTGGAAACTGGGCATTCAAGGTTGTGTGCGGCGGGATTTGCAAATAAGTGCTGTCACATGTTCAGAGCAATCATGCATTTGTTGTGTGTGTGCATTTGTTGGTTTCAGTATTAATAGCGACACGAATTTCCAGCATGTTGATCGGCACATTGGCAATACGTAAAGAAAAATGCTTCATTGGGGATATCCTTGTAGATCCTATAGAAATAAAGATTGCAATTCAAATCCTCCGCACAATCATCAAACCAACTGCAGTCTAAAAGGGGGCCAAGGATGCGCAGTTTCCATCCCATGGCCTTTGGCAAGATGTGGAAAGAAGGCATCATCAAAATCGCCAATGATGTTAATCACATGAGCCAAACCCGACACAGGGACTCGTTAGCATAATCGATTTCATCCTCAGTCAATTGCGATTCAACTTGCTTAATTGACAATCGCCTGAACTTTCATGTACAACTAGCGATTGCTAAGGTTTATCGAGATTGCAATTTTATATTTAGTTTGTTTATGTAGCCGGCCACTGATACGCCACATGGGTATTAAAACCCATTAAAGCATTATAGGTTATATTGAGTTCCATTATTGGAACTCTGGTTTACTAGGAACTGTCCCCTTGTCACTGTTCTAGGGTGATTGGCTTCCCTAGATTATGTATGTAGTCTCAAGCCACGTAAAGTACTAGAACATATAATAGTATACCATCCTGTAATGGGTGGTCCGGCGTTAGTCATGGTGACTCACGTGCCATGGCGAGGTGGGTCCATGGCCTTAGCGGGAAGGCACCTATCGTAGCATTGGTCGTGTATCATTTGGTTTCGGAGCCAGGCCCCCAGGCCTGGCCCTTCCACCCGCGCGCTCGCATGACACACTGTGAAAGCAACCTGGCCGCCGAGCCCCGAGGCTTGGCGGGCCGAAGCCCGGGCATCCCCGCAGATGTCTGGGGAAATTCTGGGGCCATCCGGCCCCGATGCGCCCTCTCCCGGCAGTTTAAAAAGCTTCAGGGCTTCTGTCTGCACCAATTCACCTTTGATGCATGTGCCAATCCTCAAGGCGATAATGCCTTGTGTACTCGATATTGCTCTACGCAAGATTCATTTCTCAAGTGTGACCTTGAGAATGAGTTTGTGTGGATGAATCCACCCTTCAAAAGGGGTCAGGAATTTATAGACCACTATCTTAAACAAAAGTGCCTTTATCCCACCAGTGTAGAAGCTTGTATACTCCTTCCGGACTGGTGGGTATATACCAAAAATCCAGCATTACAACGTATGCCAAAATTGCACACATATGCCGAGGGAAGTCATATCTTTACTTCCGCACAATTAGATGGAGCTCCCAGGAAACACCTGGCAGGGACTCCTTGGCCTCTCACGGTGTACTGTGATCCACCGTTGAGTAAACAAGTGTATGCGTCTGGTGGTAACACACCACCACGTTCCTCCATTACTGGGCAGGTTAGTCTACAACCTGCAAGTATTCTTCTTGATACTGGCGCTACCGGCACCGCTTATATTAGTAAAGCATGCTGTGACAGACTGGGTCTGTGCATTAAAAGCTCAGGCTTATGTTCTCACAAAGCTTCCAAGAAGCATGCCCATGTCTTTCGTGCCCTCTAGATATGTGATAAAGACAAACCACGGGGTGATCCCATGGAGTTCTCCGCATCTCCTGCGGTGAACTTGTCTGATAATTCTCCTTCAATTATACCAAGTTATTCTCGTAATCCACCTCGGGATTCTCCTCCTCAGGAGACCATCCCTGACTTGTCTCCTGTCACCTTGACAAATGGTGATACCACAACTCCTATTGGAGTTGTTGATATCCTTGTTCATATTCAGAGGTATAAGGATACAATCAAGACCCTTGTCCTCAACCTCATTCAGAATTTTGATTTAATCCTGGGGGACACTTGGCGTTCTAATCACCACGTTGTGATTGATTACGCCCATGACTGTGTTGGTCTCTATCATAAGGGCCAATATATCACCTTTTCGTTTCACAACACTTCCATTGATACACGACTAATGTTATGGTGGGCGCCTTCCCGCTAAGGCTATGGACCCACCTCGCCATGGCACGTGAGTCACCATGACTCACGCCGGACCACCCGTTACAAGATGGTTTAATACATATATTTATATGTTCTAATACTTTATGTGGCTTGAGACAACATACATAGTGTAGGGAAGCTAGTCACCCTAGACTAGTGACAAGGGGATGGCTCTTAGTAAACTAGAGTTCCAATAATGGAATGCAATATAATATATAATGCCTTAATGGGTTTTAATACCCATACGGCATATCAACTCGCCCCTCCCCCGGGGTCGACGTCCTAGGAGGTATACAATATGTCACGTAAATATGCAACGAGAACCTACCAGAGAGTCGTCTAGCAAATCTCCCGGTTGAGACAAATACCTTACCTATTTTGTTGTTGGCAGAATATATTAAAAAGAGGAGCCATACATACAAGTCAAAGCCAAATCTCTCCTCTGTTTTTGTGTCTATGTGTCGCCCTGGGATCACCCCAAGGGGATGCCTATCGCTCCCTATTGAAGGTCAATCCACTACCCGAAGGTGAGCCGCATCCGCGACCACCATGGGCATCCCGGCTTCCTCTACCACGGCCGCTAGATCCGCTGCGACCTGAGGGTCTAATGCCCCTCCCAGGTGCGGGTGCTCGCGCTGGTTGAATGCCTCTCTCGATATTCTGGATCCAGCGGTAAATCACCTGAATGACAGGTACAAAAATTAATTCTTAGCGTCTTTGCTTTTGTCGCTTGTTACATCTAGCACCTGATGGGTGATTATGTTTTGAATATTGATTTTCAAATGTTTGTAATATTTTTGCACAGTTGGTCATATTCCTTTCGGGTTCCCAATTATTATGTTCATGACCATACCCAGTCCACTTTACTAAATATTCTGTACGTGGTTTATTTCGTACTCGTCGAATGCGTTTGTCAAGAATATTCTTGACAATGTATTCGAGTTCACCTCCAACTCAATTGGAGGGGGTGGAGGTTGTACACGACTTCCATCTTTATATAATGCCAATTTCGAAATATGAAATATGTGGTGAACCCATTTCATGCTCGGCGGCGGTGCGAGTCAGTAGGCG